CTAGCATTCTATGTTACAAAGCAATAGAATGCACTTTTAACACGTAATAATAAAAATTTAAAAACAACACTTTGTAACTCATGGCTTAATGTGATAGGGAATACATATTTATAAAGCTAAGGCATACGTTGAAGGATATACATAATTAAATATATATATATATATACACGTCTACACGTGAATCACTTCGATTTCTTCGATGTGTAACCATACATTAAGCCCTTAGAGTATTGAAAACAATAGTGTCGGTCTCAGACATAGCCACTATTGTTTGTGAAATAAGAGTGATGTTCTCAGGTAGTTGTACATGGCGCCCTTAGGATTTCTAAATCAATGGTGGTGGTCTCAAGGGTGGTACTCTCAGGCACAGCCATACATGAAGCACTTAGGGTTTGTGAAGCAAGATTGGTGGTCTTAGGCATAACCATACATGAATCTATTAGGGTGTTGGAAACAAAAGTGGTGGTGTCATGCATAGTGATACATGAAGCCCTTAGGGTTTATGAAACAAGTATGGTGGTCTCAGACATAACCATTTGGGATGCTTGTTCCCATGTGACCTTGGTTTCCACCATTGATTCTATCTTCCTTACTTAGCAAGTCATTTTAAGACGATTATTATTAAAGCCTCCTAACAAACAATAACTTGGATAATAAAAACTTCTTATAGTTCATTTAAAACGAATTCTGAACAACTGAAGCTCAGCTGTTGCATTGTTGTTATAATTTCTATGTAAAGTTTGGATTGTTATAGTAGTTTAACCTGTCTCTCTCTCTCTCTCTCTCTCTCTGACAAAACACCACTTCTGCATTACACAGAACTATAATGTCATTGTCTATATGCACGTGCACAGTCCACTTCTTGGGCATATTTGGGGCAGAATTTTACAGTTTTACCACAGGTCAGCTGTTCACCTGGTTCATAGTCAATATCAATCGATAAATTTTGTAGAACAATATACCTAAAAACCAATGATTGAGCACAGAACCATAACAACGGTTCTAGTTTTGACACGAACAGTAGTATGGAGTCAAGTTTCTCAATCCACTGGAAGAATATCACTGTTGGCATAGTAAAGGCAGTTTTTACTGGCTAGAGCAATGATTTACATGACAGCACACTGGACTGGGTATTTTTAGTGGCTCCTGTATCAATTAAAAATTACTTCATATTCATGTATTTCCACAGGGACACACCAGGTTGTGCTAAACTAACCACCACACTTATAGGAAGAAAGAAGCAGCTATTCTCTTTCTACATCGATGACCAGATTCGACATGGGGCTCACTAATTTAAACTAGCGGACATGGTAGTATTCACAGCTGTCTCGGTTGAGCCTGTTGCCCATAAGTCACTCTATACCATTGATGTGTAAGATCCTATGCAGACACAGGAAAAGAACACCCATGCCACCAATGACTAAAATATCTACAGTTGTATCAAGCATTTCTCCATGCTTGCTATTGATGTGAATCCAGACAGCTCCTCATCTGCATCAGCAGCACCACACCTTGACACAGGTACAAGATATCTTGCAATTAACCACACCTTGACACAGGTACAAGACATCTTGCAATTAACCACACCTTGACACAGGTATAAGATATCTTGCAATTAAGCTACCAAACATTCGGTTTATTGTACGGAATGTGTAAGGGTGCCATCTTTTACAGCCTCTTATACGTTGTACTGATAGTTTTGAGAGCTGGATCCATGACAAAGCTCCGGGTTTTTTTCTAGTCTGTCCACTTAGCTGAGGCTACCACCTAATTGTTACTGATTGTGTTTCTCGATTGACCAGAGTTCTTTCTAATTTTAAATTCACCCTCATGTTTTTGTTGTTGTTTTTTGTTTGTGTGTGTGTGTTTTTTTTGTTTAGAGAACTATGTCGCCTCGGAAGTAGCATATTACTCGGGACCACTCGGAGCCTAAGGTTTGTTTTAGTGTGTGACATCAATGTTTCTCTTTTCACAGAAAGGTTCCTGATTGGACCAGGGAACATCATGTGCATGCTGTACTGAAAATCACATTGTCTATTGGCAGGTAGGTTTAGGTTGTGGAAAAATTATCCACTTTCTGCTGTTCAGCTTTCAGCCCCAGCAAGGGGGCTTGAAGAATGGTGTAAGATGGCCTACAGAGCTTGCTATGCAGACCTCCAATGATTCTCAGTGTATCTGGCTCGAGGACCTACCATGTGGAAGAATAAGTATAGTAAGTTGTCGCCAGTTAAATGGTGTGAATCCAGACAAGAACAAATATGTTATTGATTACATCTGAATGATATGAAAAATAAAGACGAGACGTATCCAGTAGAAGAAGTTGTTGGACTGAAACAAAAGAAAGTGTTTGAACTCTAGCAAAAATGACTGGAAATAGTATCAAAAAATTTATTTCAATGAAATTTTAACAAACTGGAAATAAAACTACCTCTCTAGCTGAATTAAATCTGAATTATTGGTTTAATTGTTAAAAATTATACCCACACACGGACAACAGTTAAAACAATTGTTTGTTTGTAATTAAGCACAAAGCTACACAATGGGCTATCTGTGCTCTGCCCACCACGGGTATCGAAACCCGGATTCTAGCGTTGTAAGTCCGCAGACATACCGCTGTGCCACCGGGGGGCCATTAAAACAAAACAATATATATATATAGGTGACAAGCAAGTGCAAGTAAGTAGTGAAGTAAAAGTTCAGCTAGAAAACGTGAAGTTAGCCGGAGTGTAAGTGATTAGCCATAACGGGCAACATTTTAGAGTGAGTTTCACAGTTTAATGGAGATAAGGAGAATAATTTGTCTTGTGAAAGGGTGTTCTAAATTAATTGAACCCGCCTATGTGGACTTTGACGAAATGAGACAATTATTTAAAGTTCGAGATACAACTGTGGTAACCCACGGAGTAGCGTAAATGAATATATCGCAGATCGTACAGTAAGAGACAAAGTAGAGAAAAATAGTTTGTCTTATCAATTGGATTCTAAAGTAATTGAAAAGACTAAGTGGACTTTTGAGAAGAAAAGAGAATTATTTAGAGTTTTAGATAAAACTGTGATTTTCTATAGTGTAAAGAATTTTTGTGCATACGTTTGACTTGTTTTGAATATATTATTTTAAAACAAGTGGATTGTGGGCTGTCCGTTTATTGTTCGAATTTATTGCCAGCAAGTCACAGACACCTACTGTAGAAGAATCCTAGCTCACATATACATAAAACCTTGACAACAACCAAAGGAGAATATTTTTAAGCCAGTGTAAGAAATTTTACTTAAGGGTGTAATATGACAAAGCAACTTATGCATTTTTCATTACTCTTTGATTGATAGTACTATATTTCTATTTCTGGCAAAGCTACTAAGGCTATATGCCGCCGTCCCTAATTTTGAACTACTGACCAGATGGAAGGCAGTCAGTCAGCAGCACCCTGATTCCCCCAGCTTAAAGTAGAGGACGAATATCTTATGGTATCGCACGGGTTTGAGGCCGGCTCAACAGCTCTGAAATTCAGAGCTCTACGACAGGGTAAAACCTCTGACCTCTTTCATTGTTGTACAATTGGATGTTTGTTGCGGTGTGGTTTGCCGAATGTTTGTCGTCTTGCTTCTTCTCTTCAACGACATCATCAGCCTTGATGTTCTCTCTACCTCCTGTTCCTCCAGACACTTCTCCAGTCTTCATATCCGCCATAGTGAAACATATGATCAATCTTTCAAAATTTATCAAATTCACGAACTCAGCAAACAATTTATCGCGAGCGGGGTGAAGAGAAATATCAATATCCCTGAACACCCAAGTCTGGGAAAGTTACTTTCATTTAATAACTAAATACCTGTCACTAAATCTCCTATGTTGTCAGGGTAAGCAACCTACAACATTCAATTGTAACACGATCTTTACTGCCTGACGAAGTGCATCTGCTCGTAACGTCGCAGAAAATAAACAAAAAAGTTTTCATTTAGACGTGTCAATATATTCTTTATTATATTTTATCAAACCTACAACATTAGTCTTTGTATGTTTATTTTCTAGTAGCTAACCTACTGATTACTAATTTACAACGTCTTATCTGTTGCTATCTATAGTGAGACTGTGTTTTTAATGTGTCGGAACCAGGAGTTGAACTTTAGCCGTTTTTATTGCCAAACTTAGATACCACTCCTACAGTATACAAATTGTGAGACACAGTGGACTTCTTGCTCTCCAACTAGACCTTCATAGTCGACGTTTTTCCTTCTATTTTGTTTGTAATTTCATGTATAATCAAGCTTGTTATGTGTTACATTAACAATACGTTATGCAAATAGAAAAAAGATAGATTATGATGCTAAAACATATAAGTTCAAAATTTCGTTGGTGCAATCAAACATTCACAATTTTTTCCAGAGATGTTATTATAATTCACATATTTTATATCTTTATTAGCAGATGAATAGATTGCTAAATACCATTATAAGTCCTGAAGCTTTTCATAGTTACTTTAGTCGAATGGTTTATATATGTTGACCGTAATATTATGTAGTATTCGTATAGAATAATATTATATGATGCTAATTTAATTAAACTCTTTTTAATTATTTCTTTACACTTAACATGGTCATCGTTAGAGGGCAGTAGTATGGCGCGAAGTGAATTATATTTCCAAATGTTAATTATAATAAATTATTGCTACAAAAAAAGTACTCTTGTAAAACTCTTTCTTCAAATTTCGTATATACTCATGGTATCACATTTTTAGGTACAGTTTTTCTGAGTTATAGTGCGTATATTAAACCTGATATGTTAGATAACATCTATAAATTTTAACATCATCATGATTACGTTTTTTATTTTGTTAAAAAATAATCCAAGTTTCTGTGAAATGTAGATTATAACAATATTTACAAATTCAGTTTTTCGATAAACTTATTTACATTAGTTCCCTTATATTTATTAATATAGGTAATAGTTTTCGTTATTCTTACGTTTTTGAACTATATTTTTACTATCGTGTAATCGGATTTCTTGAGTCATTGTAGAAAGCACGTCAGTCGGCACTTGTTCTCCGCTCTTATTCTACTCTTGCAGCAGACTCTGTCGGGTGTGCCTATTCGTCATACGAAAGTTGAGCTTGGGTCCCTTTTACAGTAGTTTCTCTTTCAGAGTAGTTATACTGCTAGAGTACTAATGTAAGTATAGAACTCTCTGTGTTTAAGCTTAACATAATCAACTGCTGGATCTTCTTTTTTTCAATTACGAAACACTCACTTTGACTGGTACAACTTTCATATTAATAATTAAGTGACACTACCGAAATTAGGCATTTCCTATCATATACATCTATATATATATATATATACATATGTATATATATCTGCAATTGTTATAGTATAAGCATAAATCTCTAAAAATAAGTTTAAGTTCAATAAGAACAATTGATAAAATGATCTTGTCAGTATTAAGAGTAAACAATTACCGCGAATTAGGAGTGCAGCAAGTGAAATAGTACACTCCAAGTTACATGTCATGAGTCAGAGGAGTGGTATGTAGACAGAATTTGTGCTAGAATGTATTGACAAAAGTTTATATATTACAGATAATTGAAACGGATCGAATGTGTAAAATTATTGCATTTATGGACAACTATATTTGTGTTAAATTAATCTTATTCATTTTTACAAAACCGAATGTATGAGAAAATCTCACGAACACGATAGCTGTCACTAGGCAACATATGACGTCATCCTTTCTGCGCTCACTTTTGTAGCCCCGTAAGTATTAGGGATTCGATAGTCGGATTACTCAGGAGTGGGAAATTTTGGCGTTTGGTAAATTATATATTTTTTGTCACTTTTTGCATCATTATCATAACATATAAATGAAATAACTAAAATGACAAATTACGTTAGAAAATACTGATGGTAAGCTTTTACTACTATAGACGTGAGCGTAAAAGTGGTGTTAAGTTACACCACGAGGTTGTGACTGTTTTATAAGCTTTCAAATCCGCCATTTTGATTTGTAACATCGAGTAGAAATTTCAATCTGAACTTTACATCGACGTTGCGCAGGTTAGAGGAATTCTAAATTAGTGATATAGCACTAGTTGTTATATTTCTTTAGTATGTATTGTAAGAAAGTAATAACTTTGTTTTGTAATTCTAAATATCTTGCATTGCAGTTCCACAAAATCACACAATGGATAAAGACGAGCTTGTTCAACGAGCAAAACTTGCCGAACAGGCGGAAAGGTACGATGATATGGCAGCAGCAATGAAACAGGTTACAGAAACGGGCGTGGAACTAAGCAACGAAGAGAGAAATTTGCTTTCGGTTGCCTACAAAAATGTCGTTGGAGCTAGACGGAGTTCTTGGAGAGTAATTTCAAGCATAGAACAGAAAACAGAAGGAAGTGAAAGGAAACAACAGATGGCCAAAGAATATCGTGAAAAAGTTGAAAAAGAATTGAGAGAAATATGTTACGATGTTTTGGTAAGACTAACCTATTGGCTTGTTAATTTGTTTGTTATTACTAAATACTAGTATTACACAATGTAACTGTTACTACTAGTAGTCAGTTTTGGTAAATTAAATATATAATTGACATAACATAACGTTTTGGGACAACAAGAGATCTATTGGTTCATCTCAGCTGTTCCATGCTCTAAACGAAATTAAAATAATTTTTTAAAAAATCTTAAAGCCATCCCTCGTCATTCATATACTTATCAAGCTTTCTCTTAAACTCACTTAGATTTACTGTTACCACAACATTGGAAGGCAACTTATTCCACAGGCCAACCACCCTGTTACTGTGTTTGGAAAATGAAACTGTCTTACTTGAAGATGACTCCTACCCTACCAAAATTTCTATATGTGTCCCCTATTCCTGTTATCCTCACTGGTAAATATGATGAAAGATTATGTATCAACACTATCAAGTCCTTTTACAATCTTAAACACCTCATCAGATCCCCACTATTCTTTTTTCAAGAGAGAAAAATTTGAGAGATTTCAATTGTAGTAACTCTCCTCAATGTCTTGCCTAAGGTAAGGAGCCCAAGACTGAACACAATATTTCAAATGTGGCCTAACCAATGACCCTTTCAATGAAGTTATAACCTATTTGCCCTACCACTAGCAACAACACACTGCTTGGATGGCTTTAGAGATTGATCAGTCATTACACTAAGATCCCTTTCTTTCGTGACACTGTTAAGGTTATTCCCATCCATATTATAGTTATAATTCAAATTATGATAACCCATATTCATTGTCTTGTATTTGTTACAATTAAAACCCATCTAATGCAGCTTAGGTTATTATTAGTTTGAAAGTTTGTTATTGTATCTGAATTTATATTGAAGTTTCAATGTTACTGTTAATGCTGAATAATAATAGCTTAACAATGTTACTTATCATTGTCGAATTTTAAATGGGTTGAAGTTTTGGAAGTCCTCCAATAAATAAACGTTTTGATAGATAAAAACTTGATTAGTTCATGACTAGCACCGAAAGTGAAAAATCTAGAAGACCTGATTGTCCAACGTACCAGCTCATCTTGTATTCATCTATTCCCTTGTTAAAGTTTTCATTTATCTTGGCTCAAATTTTGTACTGTATAAATTTGATTATCCACATATTTTTACACTGTGTCGGACCCTGACCCTGTAGGTTTTTGAACTACTGTAAGCTTGATACCAGTAGCTTCAACAGAAATTAAATCATCGAACTTTCCATGCATCCAGTATACGTTTTTCTGTTTTGTTGTTTGTGTTCATGTTTGGCTGTTTACGTGATTGACACTCAGTTTTTCAATCATACTTTTATAATGATCATGGAATGTGATCATCTTGACCTTCTAAACCCAAATTAAATTTCTGGCTGGTTTCTGTACAGCGTATTTAGCCTGTAGTTGTTTTTAATTGTCAGTGTTTCTACAGAGTCGAAAGTGTTAATGAGATTGACAGTTAAGTTCCAGATTTATATAAGTAAATAGTATGTTTCGAAGCCATTCAAGCAATTTAAGTGTAGCAAACTTGCTTCCAAAAGAAAACTTAGTTTCACATTTAGATATATAATCATGATCATATCTATACCTGCTTTAAGTATCGTGCTGAAATCTGCCTAAATAACAAAGTTAAGCCAATGTGAGAACTAAAAAAGGGCAATAAATTTACTATTTCATTGATCAAACCATTGAATTAAAAATAATTTTAGCAACAATTTAAATTTGCATTTATGCCTCCAACCCTAGTCATATTCTTGTATTTAAATACAAATTACAAGCCAATAGTGACAACATTTAAGCATTATCACCATGAGTTTAATTTTAACAAGGGTTAGCTCATAGGATATGAATGATGAAACTTGTGAAAACCTGCTAATGTTTTCCCAGTGTAGTGTGTTGTTTTTAGGAAAGAATAAGCTGTTTATTGTACACGCCTGACAATAAAATTAAAAATAAACTATATAATAAAAGGTAAACAATTAAAACTGAAAAGAAAATTGAAAATCATAGAAAATTATTACTACAAGAAGGAAAAAAAGGGTATTGTTTATTTTCTTTCATAATTTTCAAGCTTTCATTTTACTCTTCATTGAGAACTTAGCTGCAGTTAGTGTTATGGTAGATTAAAATTAGTTTTACTGAAAAAATTGATGTTCATTTAGGATGATCTAGAGGTTGTGCAAGTGAAATATGCATAACAAGATGACAAGTATTTTTATTCTTAGTATAAAAATCACCTTGCATTCAGAGTCAAATTTTTACTAGAAATACTTTATTCAAAAATTAATTATTTTTTGGTACAACGCTGTTAATGTTTACTTAAAGCTTGTACAGAAAGGTGTTTAAAGGGTTAAAAAAATTTTATTTTTTTTGAAATTATTTTTTAAAAGGCCATGCACATGACATTTTAGAAATGTCTATCAAATTACAAATAAGAACATTTGGTAACTTAATGAAATATTACCCTCATAATACTTGTAAAGTTAAGGTCTAAGCAACCTAATTTTATCTTCATGTGACACTTTTACAGTGTTTTCATCTTGGATAGTGGCTTTCAACCTTTTTTTTGGCAGCATGGATCAACACAGTCATACATTTTTTTAATTTTGAGGACATAATTCACACAAAACCCCATGAAACACAACACAATTAGTGGTCTTGATTTTAGAAAGAAATTGTTACTTATTTTCACGGAACCAGTAGGACCTGAACTGCAGTGTTTGCAATCACAGCTCTGGGGAATATTTTGTTAAATATCAATAGTGGGGTTGAAGTTAGCTATGTGCATCTGTTCACTCGTTGTTGTGTTTTCTTTCAATAGTGTTTTTTATTGTTTGAGAAGTTGTGCGTGATTAAAAAGGAACTCCATTCCAAGAAACAAAATCTCTTGAACCAATATGCATGACTGTCAGTCCTTGACACTTGTAGGTTCCAAAGACATCAATTGTTATTATTTGAGTGTATTAATCCAGCCTTCTTTTATGAGCTGTGACCCAAGTCTCATCCAAATAATAATAGATATTTCCTAATATCTCAAATATGTCTACACTTTCTTCAAGAAGTGGTTTTTAGCTACTTTTTAATTTTCACTACTTGAAATCATTCATATATTGCCTTTTGATATGGCAAGTTATTTTTTCTTTAAAATAATGTAGCAGTATTAACATTGTAGTTTTGAAATAGCTATCAAATACAAAACTGTTGTGTATTTATAGTGTGTTATGTGCTTTATTACACTTTATAGTGAGTTGTCATTAATCGTAATAAAACACGTTATACCTGTAAGGCACCATTAAGACCAAGTTGTGCCATTACGAACCATTACTGAGAAACTAAGGCTGCAGTTCATTGCTTTTTGATATACTGATTGTTTCTTGTAGACTTGTGTGAAAATTTGTTGAGGGTACTTTCTTATATTTAAAGCTTGTGTAGGCATGGAAAGTTTTATAACTGTTTTTGGAAAAACCTGGTTTTATATTATTTTAGACCAAAAAAAAGTGCATGTTTAGCACCCCATCTACTTCCATTATTGCAGCCACACCCCCATGTTTTTGGGTGATTTTCCCTTCTTTTTTTTATTATCTTTTAATGATCAGACAAAAGAAACAAAGACTTCTGAATAAAAAAATTAGTTGATTCATTTTGCTCTTTATTTGTCATAAATTCTGTATCATTTTGATGAAAAAATGTAACAAAGATGACTTCTTTTTGACAAGGGACCCTTTGAAAACAAACAATCGTGAAGGAAAAAAAGGTCATTAAAAAGTATCTCTTCCTCCCTTGTTTTCAAAACTCCTGACACTAAATTTTTTTACTTTGCCTTAACCAGTGTTGTTTTTTTTGTTGTTGTTATTGTTTTTTTATTGGAGTTGCATGCAACCATCATAGTATGAAATATTTCAGTATTTTCTGCTACTAAATTATTTAGAATATCAGAATTAGTCTGAAAAAAATCTAAAATTGGTAATGATGGTCTGAATTTGTTGGTGTTTGTATAAACTTTAACACTGCTTCATCAAATATTAATAAAAGAAAGCAGCCTTGTTTACAGTATTCTAACTAATTTAATGAATGCCAAAAAGATAATATAGCAGCTCCACCTAAATTTATATAAAAGTAGTAAACGTGAACTCATGGCAATAAATAATATCATAGTGTAACTTGTGCATTGCCGAAATATCTATGATAAAGAAAACAAACTCATTTGCACTACCTTGAGAATGATGTTACTTGGGAATCAAGCAGGGTTAATCAGCTACATTGTTAAACAAATGCCTATATCTTTTTAGCATAATCCTGTTGATTTTGCTTTTATAAATATAACTTTTTGGCCATAGACTTTGCTCTTCAACTTACTTACAAGATGCTTTCAAAGTAATTAAAAAATAATTAACAGATATGTTAAAATTTAATAAAATTCCATAGAAATTGACTGCCACACTAGAGATCTTTCAAATGAAAGTGGTAGCATTAAATAATTTATTGTTTTCCAGGTGGCTACAGTCCCAACAGTGCTTAGCTATTCCTCAGAAGCTGGAAAGTTAATAATAATAATATAAATTAATCCATTCCATGCCTAAAAGGCATGTATTGCTGGATTTTAACTCCATTTCCAGTGGCACAAGCCAACGAGAATAGTGACCCATTTTTCCTTTGATGAAATGCCAATGCAATGAGGAGTACCTCCAGCTACTAACTGGTAACCATTTCACAGTTGGATAGTGTCAAGCACGCAACCACTAGGCAACTTTTTGGTTATGAATCATAAGCACAATCACTAGGCCACACCATATCCCATCAAGTTTGTAAGGTCAACCATAATGATCAGAAGCCAGAGGTAAAATAAGAAAAAAATTTACATGTCCAAAAAGGGACTGATTTAAATATTCCGCATAACAATTATTAAGCAAAAAATGATATGAGAAAAATCTACAAATACTTTGATATTCTCTACTGTCTGTATGAAATTTATATTTAACATTTAGTTATTAAAATATAAATTGTTAAACAAACAAAATAACATAATGGTTACATTCCTGTTTGTGATTTTTTTCAGTATGTAACATCCTGTTTAGCTCAAAGAAAGGTGTATAAATCCCAATAGACACAGTCATCAGAACCTTAATATTTTGTATATTTTTAGGGACTGTTAGACAAGTATTTGATTCCAAAAGCAAGTAATGCAGAAAGTAAGGTGTTTTATTTGAAAATGAAAGGTGACTACTACAGGTATCTTGCAGAAGTTGCGACAGGAGATCAAAAAAACAGTAAGTTTTTAAGTTTCCTATCTGGGTCTTTTGGAACACAGTTAATCCTTTAGGCATTCAGTGCAGTATATCTCTAAGGGTAAAATTTATTTTAAAGTTGCTAAATGTATTGTTCAGAGAGTAATGAATATTTAACATCCATCAGTTATATTGAAGCATTTAAATGACTTGTTAAAAGGTTTAAAGTGTAATTGTTTTATACTCTTTAATTTGTAATTATTGTTTATTTTTCTTATAAGACTACTCTGTTTAAGACAAACTGCAATATTGAGTGTTAGATGTCAGTATATCCTTAATATTTCTTTTAAATCTTAGGTTATTTAGTAATATCCATGGTCATTACTAATAATGATATATTGTGATATTTATGAGAACAAAACTTCTACTAGAGATTTATATAAGAACTCTTATTGTAAAATAACTGTTATTAGTATTACAATTTATATTACTGGTATAGTTTCCAAAAGTTTTTCAACACAGCTGGATCAAACATGACAGGTATATAATCTAATCTTTCTCTTGTTCATTTTTTGTTTGCATGAGTTGTAGTTATCATTCATGACCACTTGGTTCAACTTTTGTTTTAAAGATATGATAATTTGGAAAAACAAAATTATATGGTTTTTCTTTTTCTTGAGGTTACTGATTTTATTACTGTTGTAGGTGTTGTAGATGAGTCACAGAAAGCATACCAAGAAGCATTTGACATCAGTAAAACCAAAATGCAGCCCACACATCCAATACGACTAGGCCTTGCCTTGAATTTCTCAGTTTTCTATTATGAAATACTGAATTCACCAGACAAGGCGTGTCAGTTGGCCAAACAGGTAATTTATTTGTACAAGAACTATAGAAAAAAATTAAGTTTTCTTTAGGTAGCTCTAAGACATCTTAGAAAATTTTGATATTCATGCTGAAAGAAAGGTTAAGTTTAAATTAAAAAAGATCTTGAGTTTTCAGTAAGCTAAAGTGTTCTTATAGTTGTACTCTAGGACTGTTCAAAATATTTCTCTTTCATTGCATAGGGGGGGTTATTGAGTGTATTGTCAAGGTGTGTTTAAAAGGTTTTTTCAACCAAACTTAACTTTTTAAAACTGGTTTTAATGCAAATACTCTTTGATTTTTTAAGCCTTGAATGACATAAATTTTCATACCCAATAATTTATTGAAATGAGTAAAGATGTGTTTTTGAAAAATGTTTTGGTTAATCATAAATATGGAGAACTTGAAACAGACTAAGCTTACTAATTACCCCACTATTTGTGATTTCAACAGCAACCACTCAATACATACTAAATTAAATATCCATCCTCTCTGTTTACGTCCAATTCCATATATTTTGTTTCAAATCCAGAAGTTCAAGAACTTAGACTAGCTGAATAAAAATTGTAATTATCTGCATTATATAATAGGTAGGGGCTTTAACTCTTTCAGCATGGGCTCGGTCCCTGGGACCGACCTCGTAACCATTTTGTGCTTGTTATAGTTTTAAATTAGTAAGCGAATGTTAAGAAATTTGGCAGATTATCAGTAAACATTACAATGTTTTCATATGTAAGATATCAAATTTTTTTATTAAGCCTTAAGGTTTGTAAAGCAATGTTTTTCTTGTGTCTTTTTTTTTTTCTTTTTGAATGTTGCCTATCTATCATGCAAAGTAATATTCATTTTAAG